GGGGTGGGGCCCGGGGGGGAAGGCTTCCTCGGGACCTGGGGAAAGGGACAGGTTTAGAGGGAGGGGACACAGGGGGAGAGAGAGAGAGACAGATGGCAGGGGTTCGCCGACCCCGGGGCACGCCACCATCTGGTCCTCCGCCAGTTGGATGGCCTGGTTCAGCGACGTCGGGCGGTGGCACTGGACCCACTGGGCAGTCTTCCTTGGCAGCCGGGCCACGAACTGCTCCAGTACCACACGATCGATGACTTCCTCGACGTCGCTCGTGTTGGCCATCAGCCATCTGCGGCAGGCGTCCCGGAGCTGTTGCACCATTACGAAGGGTCGACCCCCCTCTCCGAGGTCCAGCGACCTGAAGCGCTGGCGATGTTGCTCGGGGCTCCGGCCGACCCGCTGGAGGATGGCGCGCTTGAGGTCTTGGTATACCAGGAGGTTCTGGACTGGCAGCTGTTGTGCGGCCACCTGCGCTTCCCCGGACAGCAGGGGAATGAGCCGCACTGGCCAGTCCTCCTCCGGCCACCCCCCGGCCTCTGCCGACCTCTCGAATAGGTCCAGGAACACCTCTGGGTCGTCCTGGGGCCCCATCTTGTGGAGAGGCACATGGGGGGGTGGGGCTGGGGCAGATGTCGGTCCCCCAGCTCGAACCTCCCGGTCAATCCAGCTCCGGAACAGCTCGCGGTCTTCCTGCTGGGCTTGGAGGAGGGCATGGAACCGCCGCTCCTGATCGTCCCTCAGGCCCAGCAGCGCCTGATGTTGCTCCTGGTGAAGACCCGCGAGCGATTGGATAACCTCCGCAAATGGCGATCCTGGGGTGGACTGCATGACGGTGACGGCGTTCTTCTTCCTTCCCGGGTTTCGGTACCACTGTAACAAATGTTCAAGAGGGTAGAAGGAAGAAGACAGGGTCGGCTTGCTGGGACGCGAGCTTTATTTAAATTCCTTCCCGCACTGTACACACCACGGCGCTCACTCAGCGCGGTAAGATTCACAGTCAATAACAAACAGAATGCAACTGGCTTCCGTGTATCTACACCCGTCTTCCCGGGTCGCTCGCGTACCCAGACTGTCTCTCCCCATCCTGTTCCAGGTGGCCTCTTTTATCCGGTCTCTCCACACCAATTACTGAAACAAGACACAGGTGTTTATCGTTTGCACTTGACCCACTTACGCACCGCTCATCTCCTGCCTCTCTCTCCCGATGCAGGCCTGGCTGAACCCCGCCCCTCCTGCCACACCTGGATAATCCACAGCTATTTTCATGTTTTGTGATAGTTGTTTGTGAGTCCCCTTGTTTGTCCTGAGCAGTTAAACCTACCGCTGTTCTTCAGAAAAATCCTCCAGGTCCTGCACATTCTCAGGTTTTCCAGCATCTTCTGCATTTTTGACACCTTTCCAAGAATGACTGTATGATTTTGAGATCCATGTTTTCACACAGAGGACAATTGAGGGACTCATACGCAACTATTACAAAAGGTGAAAATATTTACTGATGTAAACCTTTGAATAGGATGACGTGTACATCTTTCTAATTTTGTTTTAAAATATATATATATATTTTTTTGCATTTTTCCTTCAAGAAGTATTGTGGGAAAACTGATGTTGTTAAAAAATTATATGCAGAGGAAAACCAAGTCCTATGTTTGGTGGATGTCATTTTTCTCTAGAAGACCTTTTTGTGTTACTTACCTTATTAGTATTCCAAAGTATTCTAAAGTATTTAGATTAAGTTACAAAACTTGTGTAATCTAATTAAATACGTTACAAATGTGGTTTTAGTAATCTGTAGCCCCTCTTGAAAAAAAACCAGCATATGCTGGTTAGGTATGTTTTGAAGCATGGCAACTGGTTTAAGCTGGTCCTGAGCTGGTTATAAAATGGTGATGAGCTGGTTTAAGCTGGTCCTGAGCTGGTTATAAGCTGGTTCTGAGCTGGTAACCAGCTCAGGACCAACTTAAACCAGCTCATGACCAACTAAGGACCAGCTCAAACCATTGCCATGCCTCAAAACATACCTAACCAGCATATGCAGGTTTTTTCAACAGGGGTGAAATACATTTTAAAAGTAACCTTCCCAACTACATGCACAATTGAAAAAGATGTGCAAACATACTAAATAATGCATAGCACTGAGAGAGAATACAACAACACCTGCTGCCAACAATGTCTATTATTACTACAAACACATCTATTGCTGAAGTTATTATTGCTAACTTTTCATTGTCGAGTGTTATGCACACAGGGTTTAATAGCGTTCTCATTGTACATTCCCATGCCACAACAATCTCCTTATCTCATTTTACGCAACCAACACAGCAAGTGCACTGCGCTACAAAGTTTCAGTATCATTAGAAATTTAAAACAGCCGAAAGCACAGAGGATTCGTTTAATATCTAATGATTCGCCTCAAGTGGAGACTGAGAAACAGTTGCTGGAACTCAGGAACCCTGCAGAGAGACAGATCCCGCTGGCTTATGCAGATCAGTGTGAACTCATTAAAATATCTCCCCTAAAATGAACTTTGTCCAGTGCTGAGGAGGAAATCTGAGTCTGACTTTTATGTCAGTCTCCAGTCTAACATTTGAATAGGGGAGGGCGAGAGGAGAGGGGCTACCTGAGGTAACGCCAGACAAGGTGGGTCAGCTCAAGAAACAGATCCCTCACTTTGGTGAGAATTTTACAGAAGTCTGGAATTAAGTATCTGTTCTTTTAGAAGTACAGAATGTACTACTACTGGGTGTAAATCCAAAAAAAGTTTTTATGTTAGATATAAAAAGCATTAGATTAATTAGGATGGACGTGTTTTGAAACCAGCCTTTTAAAATTCCCAGATGTTTGCACCTACATTAGAGTGAGAGTAGGTGCAAACATCTGGGAATTTTAAACATTGGACAAAGAAAATAAAAAAGTTACAAAAGCTGCCAAAAGGTATACCTTTGTACCTTATTTACCCCTAAAAGTTGCATATTTATGAAAGTCCTAACTAAGAGGCCATGGATTATTAATATTTTTTCTCTCTTGTTTTCTTTATCTCATAATTTCGACATAACGAAAGTTGTTTTCTTGTGATCAAGACTTAATTTTCTCGTGATCTCTACATAACGAAAGTTGTCCTAAGTCAATAATGTTTACATATTTGCACTAGAAAACGAGACCAAAAAAAGTATGTTTTGCAGTGTGAGACATTCTTCAAAATATCTTCATAGCTATACAGGTTTGGAAATGACATGAGGTTGCGTAAATTATGACATAATTGTAATTTTTGGGTGAACTGTCCCTTTAAATGTCAGTCCAAAATAATAAAAGTGAGTCATATTTGAAGACTATCAACTACAGATAAATCTACCACCACATTGGGTTCAAGAACCTCAATGCAGTTCATTTATTAGATGGCCTGTGTACGGTAATCTACACAAACTTAGAACATGATGGTTTTGACTAGGAAGGTCCTTGGCCTCTTATAAGGAGGTGCACAGACCCTGCAGAAGTGGGAATGGTGGTTCGAATGATCTATAAACATGGAGGAACAAATGAATTACAGTGTAAAGCCTAATTTGAGCCCCTAAATCATTACCTCTCTGTGTGACAAGCCTGGCAGATAGATGCTTGCCAGTGCTCTTCAAAAAAGTGGGTGTTCTGCTAACCCAAGAGCATTCAGTGCATCTGGCCAAACACAACACTGGCGGTGTGCCCACCCCGTTTGCTGCGCTGGCACGAGCCCACATCCAGCGCAGCCTTGGCGATCGTGAAGGAACCTGGCCCTGTGGGTACACTGGGAAAGGTTGCAGGTACTTCAAACCCACGGGCGCTGTAACCCGATCACACAGAACATATTATATGCAACCGTTTGCTGACATTGTAGCAAGAATCAAGAGAGTGAGACATCTTGTGATATATTTGTGAAACTGATTTGACAAGATTGAAAAAAGACTAATTGATTATAATTGAACTGATTGTGTTAATACCTTCTGGCATTGTCATAACATGTTATGGTATTATTTATCTGATTCAAGCCAAAACAATCCAAAACAATTCTAAACTAATATGTCTTTGGAGATTGATTTGAGAAGACAACAGGTTTATTATGGACTGCATGGTATTTTAGCCAGAACTGTTTAAAATGAAAACACCTTAATGATGAATGTGTTTCTTACAAACAAACAGCTTTTGAGACAACATTAACAGGTGGACTGGAGTGGTGTGTTGTGTGGATCATTGTGATGTTGTTATCAGCTGTTTAGACTCTCATTCTGACAGCACCCATTCACTGCAGAGGATCCATTGGTGAGCAAGTGATGCAATGCTACATTTCTCCAAAACAAACTCATCTACATCTTGGATGGCCTGAGGGTGAATGCATTTTCACCAAAAAAAAAGTAAATTCTATCAGCATTTATTCTCCTTCATTTGTAACTTGAACGTGCAATGTTTCTGTTTTTTCTGCTGTTAGTTATTTTTAGCTGTACAAAAAGAAAAGAGCAAAAAACATACTTGTTATGCTGCTTGATATTGCAATGCATTGTTGTGATTATAAACACACAGATTGTTGCACAATACTTTTACTGATCACTGCACTTCTTCTAGTTATTTACCTATAGCGGCTGATGAATCTGAAGTTTCGCACAAATTCATGGAAAACAGTTTACTTCCACATTGCAAAATAAGGTGGATAAAGAGCCCAAATCAAATATGGTAACACGTCAATAACATACACACTTAATGGTGCTTGTTTCATAATGTCACAACGTAAAATTTTGAATTTTTGAGTGAACTATTCCTTTAATTCAAGGAGGTTTCTCAGATCGGACCTGTTTTGTAAATATTCACATTTTTCATCTGTTACTGCTGCTGTATTGATATCGATTTTTTGAAGCTAATGTCAGTGTTGACACTAAATCAAGCAGACTACAAGTATGCTACTGAGCTAGTTCCAATGTCATGACAGCCTTGGAAAAAAATCATATTTATTTTGCATGCAATTAGACTGGGGCCTGTTTTCTTCAGTCTCTTGTGGTTGATATTTTTTATCAGCCAGCTAGTATTATACTTTTTGCAAAGTGCCAACACATTTTTCTTGGTGTGTGTGTGCGTGTGTTTGCATTCATACTGTATGCATATTCAAAGCACACCTTTCTCCCAGTGCACTTTACCACACTTGGACGAAGGAAACTTTCTTGAGAAAAGTCACTACTGGTCCCAGTGTGCACTACATATACATAGACCAGCAGATCTGCCAGGATGACGGCGATCAGTGCTGTGTGTCAGCAAAACGTTGAGATGTAGTCTTGAGGTTTCTTCAGTGTACTTTGCTTTCCAGGGGAATGTATAGAGGGCATTTCAGCATGCCACCTGAGATAACTTCAAAATGAAGCTCTTATTGCTTAGAAGTGAATAAATGGTGATAGCAAGGGCCAGTTCTTTTTAGGGATAATTCATCAGTGGTTTATTTATTAAGGACATCATTATATTTGGAACATTCTATTGAAGCAGGAATGAATTGTGGAGGCCAAATTCAATGCATATATTTCTTAACTGGCTGAGTGTTTTAGACTCATATTCATTAAGGGTTGTGTGCTGATGAACGATTCAGGGAAGCTATGTTAGGCAGTAACTTGAGACGAACATGAAAACAGACTTGGCAAAAGCTTCACAAATACCACATAAGGACTTTGAAAACCATAATTGTGGGTTACATTTTTCACCATTGTTTATTTCAGAGTCTGGGGTTACAATTAAGGGAATTTGCCTTGCAATTAGTATGTTAAAAATAATAAAACAATTTACCTAAAATACCTGCATTTTGTGTAATGATTTGGACGAGCAAATTGAAATTACAATGTTTCGACATTGCAAAGTTCTGTTTAGATGTTTAAGTGAAGGTACACTGCATTTGTGGAAATCAGAAGCAAATTGAGAATGACAAGCCATTGCCATTCAAGAATCTGGCGAATTGACTCTGAATTATTATTATTTTAAATGCTCATCCAGTTTGAGTGATGATGTCATTTTAAAGTGATGGATCACTCAAAAAAATAATAATTCTGCCATCATTTACTCACCCTCATGTCGTTCCAAAGCTGGCTTTGCTTCATCTGTGGAGCACAAAAGGAGTGTTTTATGAGTGTTGGTAACATTTTTGTATGGACAAAAATACATTCCTCAAAATCACATCAGGGTTTTTTGGTTCATTTTGGG